TTGGGTGCTAATAGTGTGCACAAGTGAGTGGGCCTCATTTAACCTGCCATATGCATACACAGGGCCTTCTGTTTAAAGCAGCCCTCAACCAGGTGTGAGAGGTGAGTTCTCTTGGAGAAAATGGCTGTTTTGGAGAGGGGAATCTATGGAATCATACCCTACTGAGGTCCCTTGCCTCCCCAACCCTGCTGTTCCTAGGCTGTACCCTTAAATCTCCCGGAATTTCCCGACCCAGAGTTAGCAACCCTGTCCATGGGAGGAAAGAGTTAGTGCAGTGGCAAAACACACAAATACCATCACCTCTTCTTTGCATTAAGAGGAAAACAAGATCTGCACAGTAAGAGAAAATGTATCATTCTTTTCTCACACATAGGCTACAGACCTGCCCCTTTTTGTTGAGTTCTAGTACAGCAGGGTTTGCATCTAAACCCACAGTCTCTAGTGCTCATTAACTTATACCTTCTGGTGGATCCAACTATCATATTTCATTTGAAAGGCTGCCTTTATATTCATTGGACAGCCACTTTAAGCTATCATTCGTAACCAGATTTTCCTATTTCACACAGGAAAATCTAGTTGCGAATGATTGCCAAAGTGCATTAAAAGTGCATTATCCAATGTGCGTGAAAACAGCCTAAGTCTACACAACTTGCCAGTAGCATAAACCCATGTGTCTACTGAAGATACAAGCAAGGAAAATAAGCAGTCCTAGAGACTGACATTTTCACTCACCCATTAAAAGTATATTATTTTTCTAGCCCTTGTTATCTATGGGTTTCACACAGGCATAGAACCACCACAACTCTTACAAAGAAGCCTGTAGGTATTTAGGCTTTAAAGCATCCCAAGGACCCATTGCTGTATTTTTAACTCAATGGCCTCAGAATTTAAATTGAACCTCAGCAGCTGAATTATATAATAAAACCCAAGAGAGACCCACTGAACTACTCATAGAATGTGGCTTCATGCTCAGTACAGCGACTGTGCTTGATGCAGCAAGACAGATAAGCCATCAAGCTCCCAAGAAGTCCACATTAGATAGTCACTGTTGATAGTCACTGTTGATGAGAATTGGAGGCAAAGAATTGGAGGCAAATGCTTATTTTGGTTGAAGTTCACTGCTTAACTACAAAATGCAGAATTCCAGATTCTTTGAAAATATGGGGCCCTTAAAACAATTCAGCCTAATTTGGCCAAGGGTTGGTAGTTGGTGTGTGAAGAAGAAAAATCCCCTTCAGTTTTACCATGCTATTGCATAGGTATGCACTACTAGGCAGTTTAACTATACTATTTATGTCTCAAACTGAAATTACTTATATTTTCAATAAGCCCGTTTGCCATCTACTGTTCTTACTGTAACTGGTGCAATTAGATGAAGTTTGACTCTGAAAGGGCCCTAACATTCACACCTTTGAAATTTAATAGTGTTGAGATTGTGTCCACTAACACTCCAATCCTGTATTTTGCAAGTAAAGTCTCCTCTCATTATCGTTTACATTGCCTGGTGGGCCAGATCGTGTTTAACTTCCCAATTGCCAAGCATTTGCCCCTGCTGTGCTTCCAGACTCACACCATCCCCGTCTCAATACACCCTTCCCCTAAACCTGACAAACTGTGCACTCATCCACAATGCTCTTGCCTCATGAGCCACCCCCTGAATTTTGGACACATCCTTACTTGTGATTATCTATCTTCTGCCATCTAAGTCTTCCCCAGTCTCCAACTACTTTTCTTTAACCTCCATCTCGGTAAAATCTCTTGTACAATAGGTGCCCCTACTTTAGGAAATATAACCCATACTAACTTTTCCTCAGGACAGAGCTGCCCAATTTTAAGACAACTCTCCTGTCACTGAAGATGAGTCTCAAGAGCTTCCCCTCCAACTAGGTTAGAACCCCATGAAGTAACTGATTTTGTTCCAAGAAAATAGCAGGAAATAAAATGGGCAAGTCTGGTCTTCCACCTTTTGCTATATTCGCTATTTCCATCAAGTTTTCTGATCAAGTAGAGAACTGACATCTACACACAGAACCTGCCCTCTCTTAAATGCAGGCTTAAAAGTATTGAACATGTATGTTCAAGTATGTCCTTCTCCCCCCTCCCTCCCCCATTTTAATCAATAGGTGGTATAAACAGGTTTGTGTCTGCCAACCGATTTAGCATCTGGACAAAAGGTTGCGTCTTTTAAGGTGGATTTTATTATTTCCTTCTAACAGTTATTTCAATTTCCCATAGCACCTTGGCAATGTCAAAAAACAAATACAAATACATGTATAATTTTAACAATTAAGCATGAACCTACTTTACACAATTTTGTTGTTTTAGACACTTTTGACAACAGGAATAAACCAAACTGACGATGAAGCCAGATATCTGTTATGTTTCCAAATGAGCCCCGTCACTTCAAAAAGTGACACTAAATATCTCGGAGAAGTCAAAACGTTTGCGGGAGAAGTAATAGCTTGACTTATAAAACAGAAGTCATTTGTGCACTAATCACATATGTTTGACAGGGGAGTTTTATACATGACTGAATCTCCATAAAAATAAACATCTCTAGCTATTAAATATAAAATTGTTAAAGTTGATACAGGTTAGTTTGAAGACTGTTTTTTCAGAAGCAAGCCATATGATTAGCTCCCATTTCAAATCCTTCCAAGTATACATTAATACACTCATCTGCTCTCTTCCCAAGTCTGTGCAGAAGACCTTTTAAAACCCAACCAACATCCAAAAAAAGAAAAGAAAAATCAAATGTACCATCCTAAAGGAAGCCCACTCTATGTAATATTTATACAAACATACACAAATAAGAGCATGGTAGACCATTAAAGATAATGGCAACAATCATGTTTCAGAAGGAAATATCAACACTTAAAGAAAAAACCTATTGCATATTTGTTGTAATCAACAATTTACAAAAGTTTAAGCGACCCCCCCCACCCTGAAGTGCATTTGTTGCATCTTGTCTGTATACAATTTTGCATCTTACAAATTTAAAATCTGTACACACGTAGCAGATATTTTTAGCCCATGTGAATATTCACTTGGGTAACAGTAAAAAGAGTGGATATATTCAGACAGTTGATATTGACGTAGTAAGGCCATAGCTATTTAAACTACAGTAAAGCATTAAGTCACTTAATTGCTACTGATCTACCCCAGTTTCAGATTTATTTTCTTCAGGTCATTAAGACGGATCTATTTTAACCTACTGCTTTACATTCTGCCATGCTAACTTAAGAGAAAGAAAAGCAGGAAAAGACTCATGCAAATCAACCATTTCCACTTCATATCGTCCACACCAGACATACAGTAATGTGGCCCAGAGTTATTTACCAAAACCAAGAATGTGGGGGGAGGGGGGAAACTCACATTTCTAGCTAACAAAGAAAATACCTCAAAATCACCAATAAATGACAAAGGAATAAATGACAAACAGAAAGTTATATGTGGTCTTCACCTTCTTGACTGTTTTCTAAAAAAAATGAATTTCCAATTGTAAAAGGCAAGCATCTCAGGTGATGACCTTGTTATGGAGAAAATAACCAGGGCCTGGTTGGTTGACAGTGATGTAATATAAATACAATCAGCAGTTCCATCTCTACTGATCCAACATTTAGAATGAAAATTTCAGTTTTGGTTACGTTTACCAGTACAAGCTATACTGGTATATATTTTTACATTCATCCAATGCTGTTTCTAGCAGATGACAAGAGTTTATGAATAGTTAAGTACCTCTGTCGATCAACCCTAAAAATGAAGACTTGCCAATTAACACTTATAATGCACAGCTATGCAGAAAACAAGCACCATCACAGTTCACATTCTCGCAATTAGACAGTGGAAATGCTTCAGCACTGAATTTAGTTCCCAAAATTTTATTCTTCCTTGTTTTCAGAGTGAAGCGGGAAGAGACATCAATGGAAACACAAGGCATTGCGTGAGAATAAGAGCAACAGCAAGCCCAGATATGTTTCTAATGGTGCAATGACTGCTGGGAGAGTTATGAGCAAACACGTTTTTTCTTTATAACAATTGTATTTACTTGGTTATTCCCTCTAAACCAAGAAGTTTAGACATCCAAGGTAACAGACCGAGGTGAGGGGGAAACAGGATGCTATGTTAGTTAAGCAGACAATTATCAAATACTTGAGTTATAGTGAGCCCCCTAGGCAAGTAATTTCACACTGGAAAAAGCTGTTCACACAATTATACACATACATTGCACAAGAGCCATTACCTGCTGTGGGAAATGCAGGCATGCACGTACACACGCACACATGTCCAGGATGTATAATGCATCCCTTCCAAATGTAAAGTGTTTTGCCTCACAAGAAAGGACTGTGAACTCTACTTGTTTTAACATCCAATAAAGTAAGTTACATTTTAAATTATTCTGACTGAAGATTCCACGCAAACATGGACACGTACACAGGGTATACTTGCATTGCCAAGTCACATTTTCACTAATCTCCTCGCCCAAAACTACATTCTTTTTGAACTGCAACCAAATTTCTCTTTCAGAACTCCAGACTTCTATTATAATTCAAAGACATCATTCATTAGCAATGGCACAGTGCATGTCTACCCTAAGTATATCTGCAGCTGTTCAGTATGTTTTCCATCCCAAGTGCAATTAGGATTTATGATCTTTAAAACATTTTCAAATAGTCCTCTATACATTTTGCAGAATTCTTAACACTTTAAATATTTTTACCTTTTGTGGGTTATGTCCATTATAAGTAAAACCAAAAGTGTGTTTGTGTTAACAGATGTGATCAATGATTTGTGTAAATTTAAAGATTACCAAACCCAGCACAGGTAGTTTAAAATGAATAATGATTAATAAGGTGTAGAAAAAGAATACTAACTGCATAAGTACATATACACTTCTCAAATCAAAAAAGTGATTGCCAAGCTGAATAATAAGTTAGAGAAATGACAAATCTGACTTTATATATATATATATTTCCTTAAAAAAATAGATATGAGTGTTCTCAAAGCCATTGATAGAGAATGCCTACTGAGTAAGAAATTGCCAAGGATTATCTGGCTAAGAAATCAGAAGATGAACATTTTCACAGTTATTTATCTGCCACTGACATTTTAAAGTCATCACTAGCATATACAAATAAGATGTTTGGTGGTATCTCGCAATGGAGTTTTCCAGTGTTCACAACTAACTACTTTAGATTTGTATACTTGCTATTAACTGAGGAAAAAGATATACTGTTGCAAGATACTTTCCCCATACACTTTAATACAGAACCTTGAACCCTAGCATATGAATTTTGGCAGATTAACACACTGACCTTTTCCTATTTCTTCTTTTACCAACTACTATTACCATCTTGTAAACCAGATTGCTTGTTAGACAATAATGTTGTTAATCTCATTAACACAAAGCTACATAAAAGTAATCTCCAATGTTCTCCAAAATAACCTAAACATTTTCATGGCTATCAACTCTAGTAATTGGGGAAACCTACAAGTTACTAAAACTTGCTGTTCAAAAAATCTCCCCTCTAAAGAAAACCTGATCTCCAGTATAGTATGAAGTGCCTTTTAGCAAAAAGAGCTTTTCCAGTACGCCAATGCAAGCCACTCTGCAGAAGTCTAGGTTGGATAAACTCAGACCTCAAGTGGATTTGCCACACTTCTATAGCGTATTCAACAGTTTAAAAGTCCAGGTTTATTAAATGTGATACCAAGAGAATATTTACTGTGCAGTTTTCTTTTTACCTGTATCAGACCTGCACCAGTACTGGAACATTCATTCCAGCTAGATGTGCATAATTCTGTAATAAAGTTGAGAGAAAACTACTAAAGCAGTGGGGTGGGGGAAGCACTTCAGCCCCTAATTAGAGAAAAAGCAAGAACAAATTAAAAATCTTGCCTGCTATTTCTGTTTACTAATCTTGCTGGTTGTATACTCAAAAGTAAAGTCATAGTTTTAAAAGTTGACCAAATTAATAAGATCAAAGACTACATTTCCAAACACAAAATACTACAGTAGTACATTCAGTTATCATCAGTGACTAGATCATGACATAACAAGTATGTGGCTACACTCATTCACACTGACCAAGCATGTCAGTTTTGGGGCTGATTTGTAATGCAAGGCCATTATGGCATACACATCATCCTACAAGCCATACATTAAATAGATTTTTAAAAGTAATTTATAACTTTTACAGAAACACTTTCCTCCCCCAAAAATATTCTTTTGCCCCTCTCTTCTACTTTTGAGGAACATGCTAATGTGTATTTGTTCCTCATTTTCAACAAGCTAATTCATACCCCCAGAATCTATTTCAGGCAGGAATCCTGCTGCAAATTAAACACAAAAAAATTACAAAAATTATAATCTTTATCACATATTTATATTGATTCAATTCATCCAGCATTTTATATCAGTTAGAGATGAATATTGGGACCCCTTCAAGCTCTCTCTCACACTGCAAACCCTGTGCTCTTGAATCTAGTGTCCACTTTCCCCATATTTATGTTTCTCACAGCTGGCCAGTTTCTCCTCCATTGCTCTTTAGTCCACAGTTCTGATTAAATAAAAAGTTTATGATCAATTTTCCTTTGGTGATCGTGGTGGCACATATTGTTCCTTGCCGACACGCCGAGGTGCTCCCTGAGGAGAAGACCTACGTCCACACTGGCGTCTCTGTTCCCTGATTTTTCCTGCAGCTCCCTTTGGAGGCCCAGCGCCTCTGAAGACAGCAAAGTCTTTCACCCTCCCTTCAGGTTTTTCATGGGCCTTCTCTCCTGCCTTTTCATGGGTGCCATTTTCTTCTGCTTTGGCAGGGGAAGCAACATTGGTACGTAGCTCCCTAAGTGGCTGAACAGGAACGGGAGCTGGCTCTTTTGGGGGCTTCTGGCAGACTTCAGCATAACTGAGCTTGCGGGGTTCCTTTGGGTGCCAAAAGAGAATGATTTTAGTGCATAAACACATAAAATAAGAAAAGTATTTGAAGGATGACTATCCTTACTTCTTCTACCAAACAGCTCTGTTCTTTCACTACCCACCTAGGAGACCACAAACAATTTACTCTAAGTAAAACCCTATGCTTCCAAGTCTTCCCATAGCACTACTTGTAAACTAGTATACTTAAAACATTACATAATCTTTGAAAGGAGAAACCTACCTGTACTGTCACAGTAGGCATTGTGTTTGCATTGGTTGTGGATGAAGTGGCATTCGTCCTGGGTGGCTTTACAGCACTAAGGGGGGATACAGACGAGGGTGGCGAAGTCTGGCTTGCGGCCTCTTTCTGCAAATGGACCTCTTCTAGCTTGTTATCTGGATGTGTGGCACTAGTAAACACAATGAGAATCTGGTATTACATCTTACTGGAAAGTAGATTAACTTTTCCACAAGTTCCCAAAACAATGATTCACAAGGACTGAGGGAGGCTTTTAAGGAAACCACAAACAGGCTAAAACTTTCCTATTGCTGTGCTGAAGGTATCACAAAAGAGAAGTAACCCATTCCCACACAGCACAGGAACAGTGTACTACTGCAAATTTTTATTGTCAGGCCCTAGTTATTATGCATGCTTCTGCAATTTTTGTCTACATAGGTCAGATACCTTACAGATAACAATATTTGTATATGCAGCCCAGTTCCTTCCATATAACCTACCTGCTCTTGGGTTCAGGGGCAGATGAAATATGCCAGGAGATACAACAAGAGGCCTCATCAAATCTGAGGATTCTGATTAATGTACTACAGCTGCGGTCACACGGAACAGAACCCACACAAGTGAGACGGAAAACAGGCGGAGTTTCCGGGCGCGATCTCACCGGCACATCTGGGAAGCGTAGCACTCCCGTGACACAACCGAGGCTTCCAGACGAAACTGCGTGGCAAAAAACTAGTACCTCGGAGGTACTAGTTTCCGGAAACTGTGGGGCAAGGGCGGGCGTCTGATCACGTTTCCGGTGGCATCCGGCGCCCGCCCATGTCCCCTTGCAAATAAGGTGGGGTTTTTTGTCCATGTCTCTGTGGATGCGCACACGCACCCAACGGACCATGCGCATTCGTCGTGTACACACAAAAAACCCCCGGTTTGCCGCGGCGCGCGCTTCTTCGTTGCGCGCCGGCTTGTCCTGTGATCAGCACCTCTCCCTTGCCATGGAACCTCCACGGTACCTCCACAGGACCTCCACGGGAGGTCTGATCGAATAACTGCGCAGTAGTTTGCCCCAGGGCAAACAGCCACGCTTCTCCCCCGCAGTTTCCTGCCCGTGTGACCGGGGCCTACAATAGCTTTATCCTAAAGAAAACAAACCGTGTTGTTGCCATACACAGACAACAGCATTTGCAAGAACTCCTTACAAAAAGCACTCCCCTTCAGCCAAGTGACATAAGGAAAGGCACTTGAAGTAGTTTGAACTCACTCCTCAACTCCTTGCTTAGCCTGTTTTCAGCCTTCATTACCAGATGAAATTTCTTTCATTTAAGAAACCTTTTGATGTCCATTACTCATGGATCACTGCCTTGTCGTGGCGAGGGGGCTTGAGCGGTTCGATGAAGCTGTGGGCTATGCCGTGAAGGGCCACCCAAGACGGACAGGCCACAGCAGAGAACTCAGACCAAGTGTGATCCACTGGCAGTATTTTTGCCAAGAAAACCCCATGGACAGTATCAAAAGGCTAAAAGATATGACGCCGGAAGATGAGCCCCTCAGGTCAGAAGGTGTCCAACATGCTACTGAGGAAGAGCAGAGGGCAAGTACAAGTAATCCCAGAAAGAGTGAAGCGGCTGGGCCAAAGCCGAAAGGACGCTCAGTTGTGGATGTGTCTGATGGTGAAAGGAAAGTCCGATGCTGCAAAGAACAATACTACATAGGAACCTGGAATGTAAGATCTATGAATCAAGGTAAGCTTGACGTGGTCAAAAATGAGATGGCAAGACTGAACATCGATATCCTAGGAATCAGTGAACTAAAGTGGACAGGAATGGGCGAATTTAACTCTCAGAAGACCATTATCTACTACTGTGGCCAGGAATCTCGTAGAAAAAATGGTGTGGCCTTTATAGTCAACAAGAGAGTGCAGGGGGCAGTACTGGGATACAATCTCAAAAATGACAGAATGATTTCGGTCCGATTCCAAGGCAAACCATTCAACATCACAGTAATCCAAGTCTATGCCCCAACCACTGATGCAGAAGAGGCTGAAGTGGACCGGTTCTATGAAGACCTACAACACCTCCTAGAACTAACACCAAAAAATGATGTCCTCATCATCATAGGGGACTGGAATGCTAAAGTAGGAAGTCAAAAGGTAACCGGAATAACAGACAAGTTTGGCCTTGGAAAGCAAAATGAAGCAGGGCAAAGGTTAACAGAGTTTTGTCAAGAGAACACACTGGTCATAGCGAACACCCTTTTCCAACAACCTAAGAGGCGACTCTACACATGGACATCACCAGATGGGCAACACCGAAATCAGATTGACTATATAATTTGCAGTCAAAGATGGAGAAGCTCTATCCAGTCAGTAAAAACAAGACCTGGAGCTGACTGTGGTTCAGATCATGAGCTACTCATTGCAAAATTCAGACTTAAACTGAAGAAAATTGGGAAAACCACGAGGCCATTCAGGTTTGACCTAGATCGCATCCCTGATGAATATACAGTAGAGGTGAAGAATAGATTCAAGGGTCTGGATTTGATAGATAGAGTGCCTGAAGAACTATGGACGGAGGTTCGTGACATTGTACAGGAGGCAGCAATCACCACCATCCCAAAGAAAAAGAAATGCAAGAAAGCAAAGTGGCTTTCTGATGAGGCTTTACAAATAGCAGAGGAAAGAAGGAAAGCGAAAGGCAAAGGCGAAAAGGAAAGATTTACCCAACTGAATGCAGATTTCCAGAGAACAGCAAGGAGAGATAAGGAGGCCTTCCTGAATGAACAGTGCAAAGTAATAGAAGAAAACAATAGAATGGGAAGGACTAGAGATCTCTTCAAGAAAATTGGAGAAATCAAGGGAGCGTTCCATGCAAAGCTGGCCATGATAAAGGACAAAAACGGTAGGGACCTAACAGAAGCAGAAGAGATTAGGAAAAGATGGCAAGAATACACAGAAGAACTATACAAGAAAGACCTCGATGTCCTTGACAACCACGACGGTATAATCACTGACCTCGAGCCAGACATCCTGGAATGTGAAGTTAAATGGGCCTTAGAAAGCATTACTAACAACAAAGCTAGTGGAGGTGATGGTATCCCAGCTGAGCTATTCAAAGTCTTAGAAGATGATGCTGTTAAAGTTCTGCACTCCATTTGCCAGCAAATTTGGAAAACGCAACAGTGGCCACAGGATTGGAAAAGATCAGTATACATTCCAATCCCAAAGAAGGGCAATGCCAAGGAATGTTCAAACTATCGCACAATTGCACTCATATCACACGCTAGCAAGGTCATGCTCAAGATCCTACAAGCTAGGCTTCAACAGTACGTGGATAGAGAACTACCAGAAGTACAAGCTGGGTTTCGAAGAGGTAGAGGAACGAGAGATCATATTGCCAACATTCGCTGGATTATGGAGAAAGCAAGAGAGTACCAGAAAAATATCTACTTCTGCTTCATTGACTATGCTAAAGCCTTTGACTGTGTGGATCACAACAAACTATGGCAGGTCCTTAAAGAGATGGGAGTACCAGACCACCTCACATGTCTCTTGAGAAACCTGTATAAGGGCCAAGAAGCGACAGTTAGAACCGGATACGGAACAACTGATTGGTTCAGCATAGGAAAAGGAGTACGACAAGGATGTATACTGTCACCTTGCTTATTTAATATATATGCAGAGTACATCATGCGAAATGCTGGCCTGGATGAATCACAAGCGGGAATTAAGATTGCTGGGGAAAAGATCAACAACCTCAGATATGCAGATGATACCACTCTAATGGCTGAAAGTGAAAAGGATCTAAAGAGCCTCTTGCTCAGAGTAAAAGAGGAGAGCGCAAAAGTGGGCTTGAAGCTCAACATCAAAAAAACTAAGATCATGGCATCCGGCCCCATCACTCCTTGGCAAATAGAAGGGGAAGTCGTGGAAGTAGTGACAGACTTCACGTTCCTGGGATCCCAGATCACCGCAGACTGTGACTGCAGCCATGAAATTAAAAGACGCCTGCTCCTTGGGAGGAAAGCGATGGCGAACCTAAACAGCATGATAAAAAGTAGAGACATCACCCTGCCAACAAAAGTCCGCATGGTCAAAGCAATGGTATTCCCAGTAGTCATGTATGGCTGTGAGAGTTGGACTATAAGGAAGGCCGAGCGCCGAAGAATAGATTCTTTTGAACTATGGTGCTGGAGGAGACTCTTGAGAGTCCCTTGGACTGCAAGAAGAACAAATCAGTCAATCCTCAAAGAAATCAACCCTGACTGTTCCCTGGAAGGCCAGATAATGAAACTGAAGCTCAAATACTTTGGCCACCAAATGAGAAGGGAGCACTCACTGGAGAAGACCCTGATGCTGGGAAAGATTGAAGGTCAAAGAAGACGGGGACGGCAAAGGATGAGATGGTTGGACAGTGTCATCAACGCAACGAACATGAAATTGAGCCAACTTCAGAGGACAGCGGAAGACAGGAGGGCCTGGCGGGAGATGATCCATGGGGTCGCGAAGAGTCGGACTCGACTGTGCGACTGAACAACAACACTGATGCTATCTGGTGTGTTGTCTTTTAATTGGTTATTGTCATATTTAAGTTTTAAATTTGCTGTTTCACTGATTTCCTGTTTTTAACTCTCTTCTTTTCTGATGCAACTGAACAGTTCCAAGAGGTACTTGAAACCACAAACTCCCACATCCCTCAATTACCTTAATCCAGGAGCATCAATCCTACAAGGAGAACTGGTGCTCATTGCAGGCTGAACAGGGTTTTGGCCCTGCTCTTCCTGAGTAGATGCTGGACAACTAACAGTCAACTCTTTGTTTTCCTAAAGGGAATAAAACACAAAAAACAAACTTAAGGAACGAGACAGACTTTAAACAAGAGCTTGCATCAGTCACGGAAGACACAGGACAGGCATTTTAGTAGGGAAGTTCTAATCAACAGGATTTTGTAAAGATGGATTACGCTGGTTCACCACAAGTTCATAAAAACAGCCATAACACAACTGCTCTGACTCAATGCAGAAGTGTAACTGCTGCATTAATGTTGTCCAATTCTGACCTTAGTTACAGAACTCCCCACCTGGGCATTCATCAGTCCAAACTCCCTATGAAAATATTGTTCTCATGTAACCCAACTTGAGTCCAAGTGAGAAAGACTGATTACACAGGTGGACAATAATTAATGTAAGTTTAAAAATAAATATACAGGGAGCATCATGTGTCCCACTGCTGGTCCCCAGATCTGGGGTGCTGGCCAATTCCTGCTTCACTTGCAGCTCCTGCACAGACTGGCATGTTCAATCTCCCCTACTGCTATATCTTCCTCACTAGCTTACTCTATGACAAAAAAATGGTCCTTTTAACCATCTTATTCTGATCATCTGAATGGCCAAGAACAGAAGTGAAATACATATATAGCTGCTCATGTTTGAAGTCCCTCATAATTTTTAATGGAACAGTGCCTAGAACATGGAAATTTCTTCATGAGACCTACAAACTTCTGTCCTGCACAGTACTATTTCTTAAAGACACAACTCTTAATGTTGCAACAGTCTAGAAAGCAAAAGACAAACAGTCACAGTATGTACCTTTTCTTTGCTTATTCCTTTAACAATATCTGACATCCTACTCTCCAAGACTGGGTCTTCTTGAGTTTTTACCATGCTACCAGGCAAGGGAGGGAAATTTGAGGCTAGCAAGTCAAACTTTGGTGTCAAAGTCTTGGTTTCAATTGAAGGCTGGGGTCGCTAAAAGAGAAGAGAGCACACTAGCATACTTTACAGGAACAACACACTTCATGCTCCTATGAATCCATAAGTTTCCCTGGGACACAGACTTGTCTATTTCCTTCTCTTTCATGCAGCGACCCACACAAACACAGAATAATGATAAAACAACTAAATGCTAACAAGATTAATACAATTAGGTTCCAGGAGACTTTTACTGGATCTATATTGTGAACACAGCTCCACTATCATCTTCCCACTTCTACTGCTGCCCCCTCATATCAGAGGACCCCTAGGAACAGTATTTCATGCAGTAGGGGGCAGAAATCAGGAAATATACTGCTATCATCTTTCAACAGCAAAAAAACCCCAGGGTCTGGAGTCAACTGTATTAACTTCATTCATAACACAAAACATTGGTAGAAACTTCACATGCAACACAGAAGGAAACGAAAAAAATTCAGTGACCCAGCACCAAGGATTCATGTCCCAAGGCACTGCCTTGTGAAACAGAAGATCCTTTTTTGACCCAAGTACCACAGTACGTATATGAGTTCAATTATTCCTTGCAGTAAAACCATGAGATACTCACTGAAAGTCTGTCATCGTCCCGTCTCCTCCGGCCTCTGAAAACAGTCCTCCTGCAGAACAACAAAGTGGGGCTTCAGTGAGCGTTCTGCGTGTTGCTATGCTCTCTGATTTTATTGCTATGATTAAGTTCCTACTCATCTATTCTTTCAGGTATTTCATCAGGCTTTGCAGTGCTTTAGGGAAGCACTGTAAGCTCGGTGCTAGAGCTCATGCTTGTCATGCAAAGTCCCTAGACATCTCCAGTCGAAAGGCCTGAAAGCAGCAAGGATGGGAAGGACCTTTGCCTAACACCCCGGAAGACTGAGGCCAGGCAGAATGAATAATACAAGGCAAGAAGGACCAATGACTCAACTCAAGGTAAGGGCCCTGAGGGCCTGAATCCCTTACCTGCCTCTGCCATAGTCACCATTTTGTTCTATCTGAGAAAAGGAAGAATCCTTCGGTAAATAGCTTTGTTCTTGAAGTCCTGATAGTGTATTTGCTTGCCGTTCAGTTTGATAGTTCCTTGAGGTGGTTCTGTGCAGCTGTCCATCTCCTGACACCACACTGACAGCAGATGTTGCTTCTGCAGGGTGTTCAGAGCTACTTGACAACCGAAAAGGAGGCTTCATGCTGGACATATAAAAAAGACATGATTCCTCCAAAGTACATACATGTTTATATTGTCAACATTAAAAAGGGAGGAGAAAAGTCCCTAACCATGCTCACACATTATTAACTGGCAATATTGCAAGATGGTTTGAGCAGGATGCATCTTATAGGAAGAGGGTGGGGATGATGCAGTGGTGATTATGTAAAACTGTCATGGTGGTTTTTGGCAATATTACGTTTTGCAATATTCTGTAGTTTTTGCTGGAATGTACTGGCATAAGACCATGCACTCCTTGGTGAATGCAGACCAAGCATTTATTGGCAAAAATGAGTTTGTTGTATGTATTGATAAAACCTCTGTCAAAGCAACTCAAAGTTGTTTGAAACCAAACTGTTGTGATTAACTTCTTCTGTATCAACAAGAAAAATCACAGCTCTCTGTTTATTCTATATGATTTGGGTTAACAAAAGCCCTCATGTTCTTTGTAGACCAGTGGCTTCCCAACCTGGGCTGGGGACCCCTGGACAGCCATGGAGTTGTTGGAAAGGGTCCATGAACCCATATGTGCACTAAGCTTGTCATTCTGATCTTTTTGTCATTACATATTTTCTCAATCATCAGATACTGGTATTATAACTACTGTCAGATGGGGAGGCTCCGCATTTTTTTTTCCTATGCTAAAAAAAAAGAGTCCTCTTAATCAAAAAGGTTGGGAACCACCATCCTAGACAAACCACAAAGGATACTGGATTGCTTTAAGATGTACATCTCCTTTTGACAAAAGTAACCCTTGTTTATAACACACTAGAAAAAATTACGAGCAATGACCAACCCATGTACTGGTTCAAGAAAAATATGGGTAGCAATTCTGCTTTCACACTGAGATAATTCTCCGTGCAGTTCTCATTGTTGCTGTGAATGCACCAGGCCGGAGGATTGTAACGCCGTGACTGGCGCATCAACTGTTGGAACCTGTAACAGACTAGAAGCCACAGTTGATGTGGGATACAATTTTCTTAAAAAGGAAGGAGGGGTCCTATTGGACAAAGGACGTTGCCATTCTGCTTTGATTTTAAAAGACGATTAGAAATAGCAAGATTGGTAGAGAATCCTAACAAGCTGCTCTCCCTGTTGAGGCAGGAAAGAAACTGGGCCTGGGGCGACTCCCACCACAGGAAACAGAAAGTTTGATTTGTTCCTGCCTTCCTGAGTGACGGATGGGAATCACCCACAAGATGGCCTCCACCTCAGAGGGAGAATGCACAGTTATTTGTGGTGGCAATGGACTGACTACATGGCAATGTCCCCTGCACTTTGCTTCCCTCAGCCCCCTCTGGCTGACATTCCACTCTTCCCACGCTAGCAGAGGATTTTCAGGCTTCCCTCTCCCAACACACACACATATAACAGCTACACTGCTATAATTCTATAGCAATCTATGGTAACAATGTATGCCCCTGAATTTTGCAGATACACACTTTCCTTATACCTCTACAACATGAACAGTTACAGACCGTTCTTAAAAATTAAAGCTAGGAATTCAGAGGAAAGAGTATATTGTTGCAGTAAACTGTTTATGTTATATAATGCTATAGCAATCCAGCTATTACTGATTTTTAGAGCCTGAAAAAAGTCATCCTTCAGTACGACTGGTGAAACAGCAGTGGCAAGGCATGAGGAAAGGCAAATGGTGCTGATGGGGTCCTTAGGAAGTACACATTTTCCAGTCCAGTCTGCCTGATAATGTATTTGGATGGCACTCTATACGAAAAGGTTGAAGAAAAGCAGGTTTGGGAGGGAGTGCTCTGAGGATGGGAAAAGGGCAACTGAAGCATAATAAGACTGTTATGTCACATGGATGCCCCTTAAAGTCCTTTAGTTTGGTAGATAAAGCAGAAAATAGCTTCCATGTGGAAGTAAAGTAAGACACAGTACAACTAAACATAAATCAGAAGCTCCACAAGCTAGGTTTTAAGAGGCAAGAGGCAAGCCACCCTTCAGATCTTCACAATCTTAGCCATCACTGAAAAGGCCACACATTATCAGCCTAAAAATGATAGACAAGAGGAAAGATAGGCCAAAAACAGAAAGTACCAGAGAGAAAAGTCTGAGAGCATTAAAATATGTTCTAACTTCAAATGTCAGACCTGTGTTCTCTAACATACAATACTGATTACTGCTGGACTGAAACTCAAGTTCCATACTTTCCAACAATAGCAACCGAAGGCTTAAACACCTGAGAAACATAGCCCAGAGTCCTATTCGAAGAGGTGTTCTAACTTGGTTGATGTTTCAGAACTCTCAAAAGTGTAATTACTACAGTTCTGTTTTATCAAAATTGTGAAAAGGTTTGATCTCCCTAGAACAGACACTGGTGGAAATAAATTTGTGATCTGCCATCAGCTTGCCTAATTTGGTAAGGCACTGAAACCAAGTTTAAAATGGTTACTACGTAATTATTAAATAATGTTATACAAGCAGACTGTTCAAGATACATACCAGATCTGCACACTTCTGAACCAGTGTATCACGACCTAGCTTGAAGTGGGTGAGGAGTCTAGCATCCTTTATTCATCCCCCGCCCCAGAAAACCAACCAGTCCACAAGAATGAAGGAAAACAAATTCTTGGTTTAAATGCTTAAGTCCCAGTAGAATTACAGGACCCAGTCAGCATTTTAGACATCATGGTAAACAACAAACATAAATGGCGAGTTTCGTAATTCCAATTCAGTTAAAATTAAAGCTATTTTACCAGGTGCCTTGGTTGCTAAAGCTACAGCTTCAAAGTTCAACCTCTGTTAATCACATTGACTTGTGGCCATGAACTTTAGCCTCATCAAATATGTACAGAGGCAGTTGCCACAGAATCTGACAAAAGCAATTATTGTGCTAAACTAGCCTACTATCGTTTTCACTAAATATGAGTTACTCGCATATACAGGAAAGATTTTAAAATAAATATCTAGTTATACATCTTTACAGCTGTACTAGGAGTGAGCCCAATCTAGTGAATGAATTATAGAGGTAGATGTCACGTGCTTGTTAACAGCTTGTTGGGAATGAACTAGTAATTTCTTTTTATTGCTATACAATGCAGATTACATTAGTGCTTTCCATAGCTACTTTTGGGAAACATTCCTTTTCAGCGTAACATGCACAAAGACGCAAACATCCTCTCCATTTCAAGTGACTACCTGGAGTCAACTATCTGGAGTCAAGTGAAAAGTGTTTTAATAAAATTGAGCTGTAAAGCCCTCTTATCTGGAACTTTTCCAGTTAACTGTCCTGGGATTCTAAATGGCAACAGTTCCATGTATATGTGAAAATACTAACATTCAGATTAGTGCATTTGGCACTGATAGCAGATAAAAAAGCTCTTTTGTAGAGGCAGATCCATATTATTTATTTAAAATATTTCTACAACATCTTTCCATTTAATTCAGGCTCTCCGTGTTAGGTATTAGCTTGCTCACTATGACTTTCACCTGCACACCAGCTGCCATATACCAGAACGTATATCCTTCTAGCTCTTAGAAATTACTTAGAAATTACTTTGGATTACAAGAGAACATTTCACTTGCTACCAGGACTGGTTTGGGGGTAGCTTCTTTATGCTGGAGTTTTTCATTAAAAAAAAATCAAAGCAGGAGATGATATGCAACTATGAAATAGACCTCTACTGCCTGAGAAGCTTGCACTACCAATGACTGAAGCCATGTGACATACAAGACAAAGAAAGAGACCTGTCTAGCTCTGACCCTAAAAGCACACCTCAGAGCATCGGGCTGACACACACAGTGCTGGATCATTTACATTCTCATTCAGCACTGGAAAAGCAACACCATAATGGCTAGTTACCTTAATATCCTGGCTGGAGGTTGGCTTCTAGTTCAGGAATATGAATATAATGCCCATTTGCCAGTAATATCAGGAGATGAGTAACCAACAAATGATGACCTGCTTTACTGGGTGGGGGATCCTAATCTCATCACAGACACCATCACTGGCCCTGGGGTCTGCATGGTTTTTGGGCTCTATAGTTCATCCACTATCGCCAACCCTAGGGCCACTGTAGCACCTAGGCCTCAGTGTGACTCCCTACCTCCCTCATTGTTGCTACTACCAGGCATAGCCCCCTGGCTTGTCCACCACTGCTGCACCCGGCACGGCTCCTAGCCTCTGCTGTCCCCCCCCCCCCCAAATTGATACTGCCAGGCCTGGCATGGCTCCCAGCCTCAGCCATCAGGCCTGCCACAGCTCCCTGCCCCCCCAATCACTACTGCTAGGCCTGGCATGCCTCCCAGCCTCAGCCACCAAGACCACCGCAGCTCCCTTGCCCCACCGTCACCACTGCCAATTCAGGCCTCAGGTGCGGGGGACATGGAGCCACACAATACCACCACAGCTTCCACGGCTCTGCCAGCAACAGAGGAGGTGGTAGGTGAGTTGCATGCAAACACTCTTCTTTCCAGAGGGATTTAAATCCCCAGTTGAATGTTTTCAGATTTTGCTGCAAACCTGGGGTGTCTTCCAAATTTACAGAAGTATCTGTTTTATGTCAGTGTGGCCCCAATCCATGGATTTAAGTATTAGCAGATGAAGCCACACTTGATTATAAGAAGATACAGACCATGTTAAATGTTAAAAATGCCCAAAATGGAATAATGGAAATGGATATTTAAACTAGCAAATAAAAAAAAAAAAAAAGATACAGACCATTGCTGCCACTGCACAAAATACACAGAATCAGGTAGTAATGCTGGCACTTCTTTAAATTATCACGTGTTTGGATTGCATGGAGCTGTAAGTCCTAAATTAAGTTATGCTTGAAAAGAACCAGTGAAGGGGGATATACAACAATTATAAAGCCATTTCTTAGGGAAAGTGGAAGCTCCTCCCTAGGAACTAGCTTCAGGGGTTGAGGACTGTAGAAGCTATTTAAAACTGTATCCCAAATCTCTCTGGACAGCCAGGCTTTGTTTAAAGAGGGGAACACTCCACTGGTCACATTTTGTGAAAATGTTGATAATCTTTAAGAGCTAGATTCAAGTCCAGTAGCACCTTGGAACAAGAGTTTCAGGGTATGAGGCTTTCACGAGTCAAAGCATCCCAACTCCTTTGCAACACTGCCCCCCGCCCACAACCTTCAGACTGGGATATAAAGACTCATTGATCTCCATTCCTACTTGTATCTGACAAAGGGGAGCTTTGACTCTTGAAAGACTTGAATCTAGCTGTTCCACTGCAGATCAATACAGCTACCCTCTTTAAAGCACTGCAGAACATCATGCCAGTAACTAGAGAGATGGATGCAATTGTGGTGGCCTAAGTCTTCAAAATGCTTTCACAAATTCACAAAAATACACTGCCCAATTTCTTACCGGTTTCTATGGAATGGACGTCCTATACTTAAAGCAGCTGCATTTGCCTTGTATGATCCTGGCGAACTGAAGCCATTCACAAATGCACCATTCGGAAAGGGAGCCTGCAGTGGATACCAAATATACCAGGAAATAAGAACCCCCTTAATGAAAATGACGGTCAAGCACTTGAAACATATAACCCACACACATGCATGCTCAACACCAAGAAAGTACACAATTTGTGGAAGCAGAAAAGCATAATTTTTCCTGTTGCCAGAATATTCATGTGTTGGGCAACACTAAGGAGCTGGAGGTGTCCTTCTGATGGCGGTGGAAGTTGAGACAGGAACTTCAGGCCCCAGATGAGAAATGCAAACCCTTCATCTCAGAACAATACTTCCAAAAAAGTCTGGATTCCTTCACAGGAGCTTCAAAAACCCTATGCTGCTAAGCTGCTAAAGGCACTTCTTTCTAATCCCCTTGAAAGCACCTCAATCAACCTCTATTTGTGTGAAATTCTGGGGAAAGAATGGCTTGGTTCCTAACTATCTTTTCCAATGGTAATAGTAAATATACTTTCTTTGAAACAAAGAAAACCCAAGAGAATATATTTGAGACAGAAGCAACAACTCACCAAAGGTGTTTCAAAGTAAGGTGCAGGGTTTGGAGACCATGTCTGAGGCACAATGCTGTAGATGGAGTACTGCTGAGGACTATATACAGGCTGCACAAACACTGGCGAGGCAAACTGTGCTTGTGTTTGGACAGGCTGAGCATAAACACTAGAATCCAGTACCCGGTAACCATTCTTTGCAAAAAATGTGTTGATGGCTTTTATCCTGGCCTGTAAGAGAAAGCTCAATTTCAAACTATGCTACATCCACTATACAAGCTAATCTGGAGAATGGGAGGAGGGGGAGTTCTGCTAATTATTCTTAATACTACCCCCCTCCCCATCAGGTTAGCCTGCAGAATATGGTTTGCTTTTGCACAAATTACTGAGCTTTGGGGTAGATGAGAATTCTATTTAAAAGACAGCTTCATACAGATTTATAACAGCTCATGAAGTCCACCTACAGACACATCCAAAGCACCACTCAAACTGCAGGCAAATCAAAATCTCAATGCAAGTCTTTCTTTCAGTGTACACAGCATTGAACAATTAAAAGGCAAATTCAATTTGTGACTACTGCGTTATACCCAACAATGTAATTCTGAAGATTTAAGATTACTCCCTCCCACTCAACCCCCAGCCTACTGGAGTCTCCTGAGTCAGCAGATCCTGAGGAACAGCAAATGGGATAAAGGGAGACTCTGCAGTGAGGAGGGAGACACAGCAGAAAACATCACCCCTCTACTGGAAACATGCGAGCTGTTATGTCTTCAGAATGTTACAGTCTGCACCCTTCAATATTTCTACAACCAAGGCTGGATTCTTCACCAGCTCATTTGACAACACATCATAGCTGAAATTATATTTGAACTAGCAACCTAGAGGAGAAAATTCTCAGTCCCACCATTACTTGGAACAACTAGCACACAAATCCAGAAGTTTCACTTCTGATCCGCAAAATGCTGTTTGAGATTTGGAATATGCCATGGGTTCCCCTTGCTTCCTCCCATCCTTCCTCCATAGTGTGACACTACAACTGCATCACTGCAGTTAAGACTGACCAGGGTAGCCTCAAAGCTATATTTTGTCATCTCCACCATTGAAGGAGGTAGTGGAGAACTTATGAGAAAAAGGAGGCAAGCAGCACATGAGCTTGTGACACAGAGCTTCTAACAAGTTTCCAGTTTCCAAGCCACAATTCAGACATGAGGAATATTACATCTACACTTGTGTTAGGATTACAGTTGAACCTCGTTATTTAACGCTACAACATCCTTTAAGGTCTGGGAATGCTTGGAGACTTACCATTATTGGCTTGCCCTGAAAGGTTTTGACTTCTTCCCGTAAGTATTTGAATGCCTGTACATATATTAAAAACATTAATTGAGATCCATTTCAGTAGAACTGCACTTCAAAGACATTAACAGAACAAAGAGAACAATTAATCTAAATTCAAGTTGCACTACTGCATTTTTAAGAAGAAATCAGGGCTCTTATCTATTTTATTTTAGAAATAGAGCCTTGATATGTAAAGTGCTGCTGTAAGACAGACACAGTCTTTCAAAGCCCTTGACAAAAGCAACTGGTGTTAATTTTTAAAGAGGGATGCACTTTCCTTTCATTCAACATTCTGAATGTCAGTGCAACTCCAGCTGCTGCCCATTATGACTGTTACAAAGAAAAACTATGGCATTAATTGTACCAGCAAGTGCCACAGGCTGCAGGTTCACAATATTTTGTCACCACCATACAGCTACAACATTTGAATGGTAGGCAGTGCTTTCAGTCTGAAACAGGCAGTTTCTAACAAAATAGCCCTTGTAAAATTAAAATCTGAAACTTTTCACTTTCAGGACTGTACACACAGCAGCAGTCAGAAAGATCCTCCTTCCTGAATGGGAAAAGAAGTTCATTTTGCAGTGACAACATTTATGGACCTTTTGCAGAACAACTGAATTTGGAGTAAATTTAAACTCTTAAGTGTACCATTATTATTTATTTATTTATTTTTTAAAACCTAGAATTCTACTAAGGACAATCAGGTTAAACCAATGCACCAATGCACCATTTTTAGAGTCGACTGCTAGACTCTATTAAGAGCAGTATGTATTACAACAAAGAGATCAACTGCCAAGCTAAAAAACCAACAACCCTCAAGAGCTAACACTTTCTCTTCACCCTGCTGGGTCAGCTGGACTGAACACTCCCACACCACAGAGGTCAACTAGGTGGGTCACCGCCGCCTAGTGAGAACATGCCTGGAAAAGGAAACAGCAAAAGTACCTTCTGCATACCCACTCTTGATTCATGTGGGTGTTCTCCTCTCTTGCCCTCTCTTCCCTTTAGAAGAGCTACCACTCTCCATGTGTTAGATTCAACTCCAGTAGCACTTTAGAGACTAATAAGACTTTCAGGGTATAAGGTTTCAAAAGTCAAAGCTCCCTTCATCAGAGTTTTGACTCTCAAAAGCTTATACCCTGAAAATCTTGCTGGTCTCTGAACTCGAATCTAGCTTTTCTACTGCATGGCTACCCCCTGAAACTATTCTCCATCTGTGTGTTTGATGACACCCAGCTTTCTGGATGCCTTTATAAATTCCGTATTTATCATGTTCGCTGTGAGGGACAGGTACTCCAGACCACTATTAGCACCCTCATCACTTGAGGACATGGCAAGATTATGTTTTTGAACTACTATAAATTCAGGTCTGCTTGTAAGAATTTAGACAGTCATGCAATCATTGTCACACAAACGTACAGGTTCCAAAAGTACCGCTATACAATCAGAAGTTCCCCCTTG